GTGGTATATAATATCCATCCAGTGTAGACACAATCACTAGTTGTGTCTCCAATAACGTGCTATTCTCTATTTACTTATGCACCATGTACTCAACTGTAGTGTATGGATTTTATAAGGTTATTCTTTCATTTATAATCAGAGACTGATAGGACCTCCCTCCACTATGTAATTAAAGTTTGTGACATTTAAATGCATGAAGTGTGCAACATTCCAGACTTTGTTAATTAAGTGCATCATCCGGGAATTTAAAGAGGTTCTTTTTCAATTTGGAATTTTCAATGTGACTGCACTACTTTCACTGTTTATACTACAAAATGCCACGCAATAGTGCACAAATTGGGATGCACCTACTGATTAAAATGGGTTCCATTAACCAGTGTGCATGGATCCACACTTCAAAAATATAGCAGAATATCCGCAGACTTTTGGCATACACTTTTCAGCATACTATGTAGTGGTGGAAATCTTTTGGAATCTCGATTTAGAATTGAAATTCTAATCGCTACATGCATAGATTTAATTTAAAATGTGATTCTAAACTTTGAATTGTATTTTATATCACTAAAATGAAAATGAAAAATAAAAGCATGCAGCATATGCATCAAACTGTGAATGGTTTATGTGAGCGTCAAGTTGAGAGACATTGAATCAAAGGAAGTGGTTATCAGCTGGTAAAAATGTGTAATATGTGCAAAAATATAATACTGGTGCATTCTCAATGTTTAGTGATTTAGCCTCAGATATAGGATATGTTTGTTAGCTTTTACAAGCAGGTATTATTTCCTTGCAACCGCTTGTCAAACGCGCTTCTGGTGTTTAAAAGTTACCTGGACACACAAGAGCTGGCAAATTCGAAAAAAAATCTTTATGTTGAAAAAACTTGACGACAACAAACATTTAGAAAATTGATTTATGCTTTGGGGCTTTTTCTAATCTCACTAAATATTTAGGATGGATACTATGTGCATTGGGATGCAGGACGAGTCATTCAGGATTGAATTAAGCAACTGTATGAGTGAGTCATTGAATCTTTCACCCATCTGATTTGTTCAAAAGCCTTGTTTCATTCAAGAACACTACTATTGTGTCGCTCAGAGACAACGTTGTTTATTCTGCTTTGTCTTTATTCATTATTTACTTTTTTGGAACAACATGAGGTTGAGTACATGACAATTTTTTTCCGACTAAATCGTTTTTTTAAAGGGGTCATATGATGCTGCTAAAAAGAACATTATTTGCGGGCTAGCGTGAGCGGAAGCCCCGGCTCAGCGTGAGCTGAGGCCGGGCTAGAGTGAGCTGAGGCGGCGGGGTCGAGAACGGCGCACCCGGCGGATCCGACGAATGAGCGGCAACCACATGTGACGGACCCCCGGCTGGATTCCACTTCGTCCACGGTGAAAGTTGATGTATTCCCTCAACGACCAGCACGGATCAGCTCTAGGCATGACGAAGCGGATATCGTCCTCTTTTGGAAGACCAAACAAAGTACTTTGGATTTGAGACTTTAGTCTTTGCAACTTTACATGTCTTCTTTATGCACCAAGAGCTTGTAACACTCCAAAGAGAAAGGAAAAATTGAAATCGCATCATATGACCCCTTTAAGCGGTTTACGGCAACATTTATCACAGATGTCATTTTAATGTTTTAGGCGCATAAAGATGATGTAATGGCATGCAACACTGAGAAATATTGTCTAAATAAACATGCCAAATTGAAAATCAAGCTTTGAGTTTTGCCAACAAACTCCAGGCTCTGAAAGTTGCTTATAATGTCAGAAGAAAAATGAAGCTGTAAAGTCGCCCAGCAGTGAGACTAATAGATGGGTAGCAGCACTGCTGAGGTCAGACGGCCGCTTTCTGACAGCGCCCGAGATGACCAAGATGAATCTGCTTCCCGCTTCCAACAACTAATGATAACATCAAACCCTGTACAGAGGGACAAGCGTGATTTACTGAAGACTAACACCACAGTAATATCTCTAATTCTTCCGGGAACTTCTGGACCGTACAGAGAAGGGGAGGAAACAGGCTTTGCCACTAATTAGTTTCCCTCTCTCTCTCGTTCTCTCTTAGTTCAAGCTCATTTCCTCTCTCTCTGCTTACAGTATAATGCAAACACACCCTCAGAGATGAATTCATTTCAGGAGTAAAAACACCCCAGGACTTTCTTCCACAATGAAGATGTCCATCTTTGTACTGTAATTGTGAAGCAGAAGTTTTTTTAGTGCCTGGTGATGTTTAAATCAAATCATGAATCACAAAAACAAACAACCATTAAATATTACTGCGTACTATTGACTTTATTTGAAAGCATGGATGATAATGCCGGGGTCTAGATAGCACCGAACCTTCTTATGTTCATTCATGTCACTTTTCATTAGTACTGGGGCTCGATGCCCCTGCTTCATTTCTGGGAAGTGATTAGCAAAAATGCAGAAGAGCATCTCTGAACGCACAACATGTGTGTAAATAACATGAAAGCATGGATCCATCCTGCCTTACATCAGTGGTTCAGGCTGCTGCTGGTGGTGTTATGATGTGGAGGAAATGTTCTTGGTACACATCATTTAAATCATCATATTAGCTTAGGTGCAGGGTTTGATCCACTAAATAAGTGCGTCCTTTGTGCAAAGAAACACATAAACATTGTGCTAGAGATTGTTCTCCACTTGATGTTTACTCCCCTTTGAACGTGAACTGACAGAGACACTTGATCATGATAGATAGAACTTTTAATCTTAATAATGTATTAGTAAACGTTGAAATTAACATTCATGTATTCATGTACAAGCATTGTGCATTGAACCTTTGTGCTGTATTTTCTGTTGGCAATTTGACAGACAGTTTTCATACGCTATACATTTTGCCAACCCTGCTTTATGTAGATCCACCCACTTAAATATTTCTGGCCTGAAGTGCCATCAGTGAGTGAGGATATTCTGAGGATCAGGTGTTTGGAGGAAAGTGGTTCAAAATGAAGCATCGTGAAAATCTTCCTGTTTCAGTTGAGGCTCATCTGAGGCAGGCTGAAGCTTGTGATAGAGCAGGTTAATATGAGGTGCTACAGCAGCCCCTCAGACTAACATTAATCTAGTCAAGATGGGTAAACTGTGCCACTTTTTACATTCACATTGCAAACAAGGTTATAGTGAAATATGAAATATTGCTCCTTTGAGCCTGTGGAAGCTTGTTTTCCTTCCCTACATTTGTAAGAAAAAAAAAATCATTTTCTTTGAATGGTGGGCTTGTGTTTGCAAGTGCTCACTCTCCTCCAGCTTTTCAATTCACCAGTCTAATAGTATGTCCTGCCTTTGGAGGCAAAGCGCACTGGTACTATTAGTAGAGCCACTGACATTTACCCTACAGCAGCCATTTAAAGCGTTCATATGTGGTTGCTAAAAAGAAAATTATTTTGTGTATTTGATGTAATTAAATGTGTTTATGCGGTTTAAGGTTAAAAAAACACATTATTTTCCACATACTGTACATTATTGTTCCTCCTCTATGCCCGTCTTTCGCTTCATTTAATAATTCATGCATGGCTAATATTCTTGACATGAAACACTTTTACCTGACATGTAGAAATATACTTTGACAACCACAAACTGCTTTTAATATAAAACATTTTTTTGAAGTTGTGTAAAATAACGTACTGGAGTTGAAAGGGTTCAATTTTGATTTCATTTGGACTAAAAATACTTTGAAATTAATATTTTAGGTTCCAACAATTTACTCCTTTATTTATTTATTTAAATTCACTGCTGTGTTGTAAATTGTAGTTTGCTTGGCCAGATTCTCATATTGCAAACATAATTTCACTAAATTGTTTCATAGTGTGCTCAACTTCATTTAAGGATCTTGGAATATAACATACAGGTCTCACTGACTACTTGTATTTCATTTTCGGAGCTTGACTGTATTAACTTTGACTGTATGAAAAAGAGAAACATGAACAATCTAAGCAATATCTTCTTTTGTGTTCCAAAGAAAGGAAAAAAAAAGGTTTGGAATAGGGCTGGGCGATATGGCAAAATATAAAATATCAATTCTTTTCAGAATGTTTGACCGATTCTTGATTTCGATTTTTTTTAACTAGTCAACTTAAAAATGTAACTACAACATGATTCAAGGTCTTTATTATCCATCTAGTTAAAGAAAGTTCTATTCCAAGTTCACCACATATCAGGACGTTGTCAACATGGTGTAAATGTAAAACGAATCACTTCGACGCAAAAAGCGTGTTCTGTGTGAATAGCACTAGCGATATAGCTATATGAAGAGTTCATTTGCAAAAACAGATAACTCAGTTTTTAACAATTTTCAAAAATGATGTTTTTTCATTGTGCATTCCAATTAATATCAATCAAACTGCAGTTGGGTTATTTTGATTAGGTTAAAAAATAGGTTAACTAAAAAATACAGATAACTAACACAATAAAAACGATAACATAATAAAAAAGAACTGTTAAAAAAAAACTGAGTTACAGGTGTTGTGCCCATTTTCGACCCCTTGCCAAATTATCACCCCTCTCGTTGAAATCGCTATCTGATTGCCTAATCCTAACCCCTACCCCACACCTAACCCTAAACCTACCAATACCAATAATCTGGCAGGGGTCAGAATTGGGCACAACACCGGTTTTTGCAAATAAACGTGAGCGGTTCATCCCGTGCGTGGTCATCGGATCAACTGTAATCATTAGCATATTGTCAATGTATCTAATTGTAACGTTAGGTAATACTTAGAAAATCGCAATTTCTTGATTAAAAAAAAAATCATGGAAAAACATTACATTTGAATTAAACAATAAAATAAAAAAAATCATGGCAAAAACATTAAATTTGAATTAAACGATAAAATTGAAAAAAATTGGCCTAATTTGGAACGACATGGAAAAGCTTTAATATTTGGGTGAACTAGGCTTTTTCATTATAACTTTTTTACCCTTAGTGTAATAAGACAATGCGATTAAAACAAAGGCTCACAAAAAGCAGAAGAATACACTCATTATAAAAACTTTATTTTGAATAAAACATATGGAACCTCATTACATGTAGTGTGTTGGGTCTTCTCGATCTATCTCGGGTCAGAACAGCACAGCGTCGGTGACGATGACTTCACTAGAATCAACTTCAGAACAATGTTTCGCAGGTGTTACAGTAATGTTAAAATCTAACACTTCACTGAAGGTAGCACAACACAAATACACCATGTAGAAAAATCAAAGGACTGCTGAGAAATCAAGGGAAAAGCACAATGTAGTTACTCGCGTAGCAAGTGCAACTTTATGGAAAGACCATTGGGGTGATTTCCTTTGTTTTTGGAAACGGAGCGTGAAATCAATCGACAGTCAAACCAATGCACAAACCAATGAATGATTGATCATGTCTGAGGTAGCAAGGCAATCATGGCTTTCTCTAATTTTATTTATTTTTTGTAATTTATTTAGAAAACTATACTACACAAAGATAAATCATCTTGGGCCAAACGTCCTAAAAATCCACATTTCCTATATTTGTCTTTTTATAATATAATCTCTCTACATGACTTTGAGAAATACAGCATCTCTCAGCCACTCATCTCTCCTGGAATGGATGCTTTATAGGCACAAAAGGGTGTTTTTGACGCATTCGAATATTGTGTAGTACATCATCTGTGCGTGCGCTCTAGAAATGCAGTGAGGGTTCGGATGCGCTGCTGCCAGCGGCACAAACTGTCGAAACAATGCTTTAAAGGGAGAGTTCACGGCAAACACTGTCAAAACAGGCGAAAACTTGAACAGAACAATGCCGGGGGCAACATGCGTTAACAGTTTAACATTACAAGACCGATTTGTCTTCATATCCACTGATGTTTACGACGTTTTCCGACTAAACTAATAGCTACGTCTGTAGAAAGACAACGTGCCGATTTGAACAGCAACTGATGTGAGCTGCGTGTGGTAGCAGTGTGGTTCCTTGGTGAACATAGAAATAAAAGCATACAGGTTACACGATAAATGGCCCCCATAACCCTAAATAATCATCCGAGTATTAAAACAATGGGCAGATACACCTCACGTGTTGATCAAATGTACAGTTGCATAGTACAGACAGACGCAGTAGTAATAGTCATTGAATGAACTGTGTGGTCCTGTTCCAGAGTCTTTGGGTTCGAGGACAAACACCTCTGTCGAGGGAACAGCCGGGAATCTGCAAATCTGGAATGGGAATCTTCTTGTCATGTCGAGTTAGACACTGCTCTTCACGTCTGCGAGATTTCTTCTCTCCAAAGGGATGTTCTGCTGAAAACCTTCACATCACCTGGACACAAACATTCATATATTGTGTAAAGGCCAATTCACACCGCACAGACAAACACCAACAAACAAGTTGGCTCAAGTTGGCTGTTGGATTTAGAATTTCATGAAAAATAACTGTCATGTTCACACTGCCCAAACAAACTTTGAGTCAAAGAGAGTCAAGTAACACCGTGTGTCTACACCGGACGCAACAGTTGTCGCATTGCGCCACATCCAGTGTAGACACTGATTATAATCAATAGAACCTCATTGTATTTTGTCGCACCGCGCCGCTCGCGTCCGGTGTAGATGGTGTAACATCGGGGAAGTCTGACTGGGGAAGAAATGGATGATCCTGTAGCCACAATCAAAATTTTACTGTTATTAATGTATTTGCATGCCATTCTTCGCCTGAAAGATGGCGAATAAAACGAAAGAGGCTGTGGTTGAAGCTCGCTTTGAGTGAAATATGTGCATCGTCATGGCAACGGTTCTGGCCACATCAGATTATGTCAGAGTTTGTTGTCGTTTGTTGGAAAATCATTTCACACTGCTCAGACATTCCACGACCCAACAAACGCAGATTAAGCACGTTCAGTCGGGTGTAAACAAACTCCAACCAACGCCAACAGGGGTAACACACTGATCCAACAAACTCCGACAGACTAGTCTGTTGGCGTTTGTCGGTGCGGTGTGAATTGGCCTTAAGTGTCTATAATACATGAGCCAAGGACGAAAATCAACAAATCTACAAATCAAATGTAGGCTATCCACCTTATTCTTCCTGTAAAAATGGGCGTGGCCATTTGTAAATTTTATGGCTATAGCTTCCGTTGTGCTGCTTGATATTGCAAATTGGCGTGCCTTACCATATTATTTTAGTGCATTATCTTAATTATGAACACACTGGTTTGTAGTGCAAACAGTTTTACCGTTTACTGCACGTTGTTATTTTTCTCGTTATTTCACTATAGCGGCTAATGAACAGGAAGTCTCACCCATAGGCTCACTTCCGCGTTGAACAATAAGGTGGATAAACAAACTACACCATGATCTTATGACTTCAACATCACTAAGCTTCCGAAATCACTTTATTTAAAATGTAAAAGTTGGAAAGTTTGAGTTATAATTGTGTGCAAGAGTGAGAGTATAAACACACGAAGGATGTAAAAGCAGACTAGTCAACAGATGAGTTTATTTATTCGGCGTGATGATGTTAAATGTCCCCGACAACCTCTGTAGTCTCATTTAGCCACAATGTGAAAATATCTTGAGTTTGTTAACCATAGACCATATTTCAGGCCTTTAACCAAAAACCATTTAAAACCCATTGACATTGACTTTAAGATGATTGAAGCAGAATTCAAAAAAAGCTAACTGGTTTTTGGGTTTTACGACTCATTCCTGCAGCACTCTATGACATTACACAGTCACAATTTGGATTCCATTGGATTGCAAAACACATTAACAGTTCATTTTAATGTAGGCATTTTTTAAAGTAATGCCTTGAGTAAGTAACTACTAATTCAGTGAGTGAATATTTTTTTATATTCAGATACGTCATGAGTTGTAGGCTGTTTTGTGAGTCTTAATGTAATAGCATTTCAGAACTGTTAAAGGAACCAAACCTAATGAAAACAATTTAGTTCCAATTTTTGAATGAAAACTTTCCTGAATGCACTCTTAAAAATAAAGATTCTTTATTGGCATCAGTGGCTCCATAAAGAACCTTTATCATCCATGGAAACTTTCCATTGGACAAAAAGTTTTTTACAGCTGAACAAGGTACTTTAGATTATGAAATGTTCTTCACACCAAAACAAATAACGATTCTTTTAAGAACCATTCACTCAAAGGTCCTTTAGGGAACCCAAAAAGGTTCTTCAATGGCAGTTTAGAATCTTTATTTTTAAGAGTCTAATGCCAATCTATCGGCTGTGATGGATCTTCTCATACAAGCTCATCATTAAGATGTTTACATCCAGCGATGGCTTGTAAAAACAAACTAAAAAAAACAAAAAATTAATTTCGCCGTAACAGAAACATGATTGATAATGTTTCCGTCTAAGCTGGTGCAAACAAAAATGACCTATGCTTTCAGAGACTCAGTTGGGGATTGGATAAGAAAACAGGTGGGGATTGTTGGTCAAATGGTGTCGCAGGTTTTTCTTTTCACTTTGTGGTCAGTATGAATTACTGCGGAGTGTTTTTACTGTTACATGTGGTGAGACTTACCTTGGGCCTTGAGGACACACTTGACGCTACAGGACCCAGAAGGGAAAGACAAAGAGAGACACAATTAGGACAAAATAACAGTTATCCTAACCAAGACAGTCCTGACAAGAACAACACATGCAGACTCTCTACAATGGCCAAACTTTTAATTCACAGCGTTCAAGCTCAGACTCAAGGGACTGCTCTTCTGAACACTGAGCGAAGCGCTTTAATGAACTCTACAGGGAGACGACAGCAAACAAGAGAGAGACGGCTCCGAACACTCATATCACCTGTGCCTTCATTAAAACTCTCCCATCAAACAAAGAACATGGAAATGGCCCCATATCTTCTCCCAGACCGAAGCTCGTCGCACACAAGGGCCCAATGCAGTGAAATTACAATGTGCCAAGATCAATATTTTACCGAGTTTCTAGCTAACAATGCAAGCCAAAGTCTGGGCGGAATTCAAAATTAAGTTCAACAATAACAGTTCAATCTTATCAGTAACTTCTAGGTAATAAAAACACTCGTTTAAGTCGAGCCATTCCATAAAATGGAGTCTCTAAAGGCTTCGCTATGCGATTTTCTTTCAAACAACAGCGATTACAAACACAATTCACAATCAAAGCTCTCAGACGGCAGGAATGGGGGCGTTCTCAAAGGCAGAAGAGTGCTGGATCTGGCAGATGATACAGTAGCCAAAACCCAGTGTACACTATAATACTGCCATCTGAATCAAATTTCTGAGATTGTAAAGGATTTCTATTCTTGTAGGGCAAAATCATCGATTGGTAAGTGAAAGAAAATATGAATAAGACAGAAGGTGCGAAACCAATTTGCATCCTAAATACTAGGGCTGGTCTGTAATACAGTGCAATGCATCACATGATTGGATGGCATCTTCAAGCACGCATGGCTGCTTCTGCATAATACATTGTTTGTCAACTGTCAATTTGAGACATCTTACAGGTCGCCTGTCACAATGGCTAGTCGATCAGCAAAATTGCCCATCACTGCACAAAAAATACCTGCATTCGGATGGTGGCAGGTGTTAATTTCATACCTGAGTCTGTTTCGACTTGTTGCAAAAAGAATTTGAGTAATGAAACAATAAAACAGATGAGATACATGAAGGAAGACGATATTAGAGTCAATCTGTTATTAGGTTATTTTCTGGTTCGAAAACGTCACGTTACATTGCACGAAAGCGTCAGCAGAGCCTCATAATTATTCATGACATCATGTCACATTTGTCCTGAGACGAGCGCTTCAAATGCTCAGCAGGCACTTCAGTGAGTTGATACCTTACAGAAACACTTGAAAGCCTGTTCACTGTGATGCTGATGGAGCGACAGGCTTTCAATCAACCAGCAGCTTTGAAATGTTTGAGTGCAATGAGCAGTTATCAAGTGAGAGTTTCTAGATTCATTAGGCAGTGGACTGAGACAATCTGATAGCAATGGACACAAACACCATCAAAACACTCAGTGAGTCAACATCAAGGAATAACTAAAGTTATGCAAATGCACATTCACTTTTTTGATGCAAATGAAAACAGCTTGCATTTATTAGTGCATTAAATAATAGATATAAAATGAGCTGCGTGTATTTGTGTAATGCACTGTGAACTTGCATAATACAGGGCATTTTGTTGAGTGCAATTATGAATAGAAGCATTCATTTATGAGAACCTTTGATGCCATTAAAGCAAAATAAAACTGCGTGGATCAGACACTACTGTTGTATTCTCTCCTCCCTCCACTCCTACTCTTTTCACTGTTCTGAGAACTGATGTGCTGAAATGAAGAGTTTCATGACACTTTACCTAAATGTGATGTCAAATTGATTGCAGCTATGCTAATGCAAAGATGCAAACAGTGCACCAACAATGGCATGTTAGTATATTTCAGTTATAGCTTACTTGTAAGTGTACTTAAAGTATGTACTGGTGAAGTACATACTTTTAGTATGTAGTAGAGTAGAGCAACTTTGAATGTTAACTTTTTCAGCAAGCGTGGTTCTGGAAGTATTTTTCTCATTCATTTTCTTCATAGGCATTCAAAAAATAAAACAGTTTGAAAAAACAACTACTTCCAAGATAAATCCAGCCTAAGGTAGTGGTCGTATGGGTCTGGTTGGATGGTTTTAGAGGGGTTTTGAGTATTTGTCAGACTGCGGAACAAACTATACCTGTTTAAACAAGACTAGTGAACTACCTTAAGCTGGTAGAAGCTGTTTTGTCTCCCAAAATGCAATGAAGAAAATGCATGAAACATTGCGAATTATGCAGTCAAATCTGCAACATGCAACCTCTGTTGTTATTGTTAACTAAAACTTCAGAAATGAAGCTGAAATAAAATAGAAATTTGAGATGAAAAACTTGAGGTACTAAAATTACTAAAAGTAAAATAGAGCTAAATAGAAATGTTAAAACAAAGCACATAAAATTGAAAACTGAAAATATAAATATAAAAGCTAATTCAAAATATCAATATATAAAATAAAAAATGCATATAAATATTACATGGTAAGTTTAATGTACAATTTTCTAAAGTATACAATATTTAATTATGTTATCCGGAATGCTGGCAATTGCATGGTCTCTGTTGAGCAATTTCCATTTCTGAGCCGATGGTGACTTTTGATTGGTGGATCTCTCTTCAGGATTATGGGTAGTGTAGTATCTCACTGGAAATTTTGCATTTAAACTACTTGGCGAAAATTTCTTTGTTCACTCAAAAATGCTTTATCTATGAAGCAAATTGAATGGGATTTTACTTCCAGACCCCAACTGTTGCGCTCTACTGGGATGCAGCCAAAGACTTCACTGCACACTGGGAAATAAGGAAGGAAGCAGGTCAAAAACCCAGAAGACAGCCGAGTATTAGCCGGCATGCTGAGAGATAGATTGAGAGCGGGAAAGTCAGAGCGTTAAACTTACGAGAGCATGCAAGAAAACTGTGGTTAATCTGTTCCACAACCTCAGCCAGATCAGAGTTACTGTTAGCACACTGATGGAGAAACTCATCTGAGGACACACACAGAATACACTCAACAGATTATTACATAAAGAAGTCAATCAGAGCCCTCAGTATAATCACCCAGCGTTGTGTCTGTGTGTATCTATACCTGTGAGCTCGGCCTGTCCTGCTGTATCCTGATGGAGAGAGCCAGAAGAGGACGAGCCATTTAACTCAGGCTAGAAAGAGAGATAGGCATCGTTTAAAATCAACTTAACCCTAACTAACAGTGATACACCTGCAACACAATATCAAATATTGAAAAATGCATTAGTGCTTCCAGTGTTTCAGTCATTACTGCCTCCTGTAGGTGGAAAGCATGGTGCCTGAAATGTCAGACTGGAATGACAGTCTTGTTTGCCTTCTTGGATATCGAGTTATATTGTGTTTATTTAGCTAAGAGCCTTTGACAAGACCATCTGGCTAAGTCAGGCCCTCAGGAGACCCAATAAATTACTGTTACTCTAAATCAGGGCTCATTGAACTCCTGTGCTTGATTCACGACGCTATTGGCGGCCGTTGGACTCCCTGGCATTGCCCGTTAGACCATGAAACCCATTGAAGGATGGAACAATAGCAGTTTATACAGCGAGGTAGCTGAGCCAGGTGAATGTTAGTCTCAGCTTCACACTCGGGACGGTTCAGGAACAGGCTGATGCATATTCAAAAAATAGGACTGCCTAAGAGGACAGTTCTTGGCCAGAATAAGATGCTAGGCTTTAGTTCCAATAATCAAAAGGCTATACAAGATTCAAGCTCTGTTCCAATAGAGCGCTGCGGGGGTGACATTTTTTGTTGGCCAACCTTGTGTTTACCAAATACCTTATTTCAGGCATTTAACCAAAAAAAACCCATCAACTTTAGGATGATGGAACCGGAAGTGCTAAAACACTAACTTATGTAGCTTATATAGTACATTACAAAAAAATAATGATTTGATTAATTTCAACAAATTTACTGTCAATACATGCGCTGCATATGTATAGTCTTTGGCTGCGTCCATTGCATCCGACACGTTTTTTTTTTGCTGACATGCCCCCAACTCGGAAACTCGGGGCTTAAAGAAAACTTCGAGTTTCCCACTCATAATAACGACTTTGTGGTGGCGTTAATGTGCGTTCAACTCGTAAATACGATCTATCCGACATGACTTGAACACACAATTAGCTCCAACCCTAATCAAACACACCTGAACAATCTAGTCAAGTCAAGTCTGCTTTATTGTCAATTCTTCCACATGTACAGCACATACACACATAGAATTGAAATTGCATTACTCTCAGACCCTTGGTGCATACAGATAACACTAACAGTAAAGTTAATCAAAGTTAATCACTAACAGTAAAATCTAATCAAGTTCTTCAGGATTACTACGGTTACTTACAGGCAGGTGAGTTTTTTCAGGGTTGGTGCTAAACTCTGCAGGACATTGGCACTCTTGAACCAACGTTGCCTAATCCCTGATTTAAAGGGATAGTTCACCCAAAAATGAAAACGACCTCACGATTTACTCATTCACACTCACAGTTTTGGCCGTTCATACGCACACCAATTGGTAATAATACAGCGTTTTTAATCATTTTCGCTGATTTGCGTGATATGAGTAGAGAATGAGTATATTAAAATATTCATAAACAATATATCTGCCATTTTTCATCTGGCTAAGAATTTGGCCATAACTAAATATCTGAAGGCTGGAATACACTACTTAAACTGAACAGATTTTAAAACACTAGGCATCATCCACTTCGTAAATGGTTACAGAGGAAAAACTTGGCATCATTCACTAAACAACTAAGGAGCACCAGTCTTTCAAGCCATCCCAAACACAACAAACTCATGCAGAAACACGCCTTGTTGCATTTTTCTGCATAAATCTATCAACCCGAGTGCCTAAAATCTGCAGACCAGCTCTAATTTTGGCAACTACACTCTAAAAAATGCTGGGTTAAATACAACCCAGTGCTGGGTAAAATAGGGACAAACCCAGCAATTGGGTTGTTTTGACCCAGCGGTTGGGTTAAATGTTTAACCCAACCTTCTGGGTAGTAACCCAACCACTGGGACAAAACAACCCAATTGCTGGGTTTGTCCCTATTTTACCCAGCACTGGGTTGTATTAAACCCAGCATTTTTTAGAGTGTAGTGTCTACTCCTCCTTACTGAAAAACGGGGCAAAGTCATGTAGTGCATATCAGCTTTTAGTAGGCAGAATTGTGCTGCCTAGCACCTATTAAAATGCCGTCTAGGTAGGCAGTTCACTAGCAAGTGTGATACCTGATGCAGCAGCTGGCGTAGTCGGTAGAGCTGTGATTCCAGCTGTTTGTTATGGTCCTCCAGTATCTGCATGCGGGCCTCCAGCCGTCCCTTGTGCTGTCGCAGGAGTTTAGCTTCAGCTAACAGGTCAGCTTCCTCAGGGGCCCCGCTAACAGCTGCGGCCCCCATGCTGGGCTGACCGTGCTGCTGGTGCAACTGTTCATACTCCCTCTGCAGGGTCCTGGCCACGGACAGACAGAGAGAACGTTTATATGCCATATACTTATAACACCGGCATTTGAGCTTTTTGTTTATTGTGAGTTTGAGTTATGACTGTTGGATGCTGCGCCGGTTCTTTTATGTTCTGGCTTTTGAAAGGCAATGAAGAAAAGTGAACCCAAAGGGACCTGCAACCAAATTCAGCCTATTGTTAGGAAGCTACAGAACAGCCCACTGCCAAACACACACTAAACAGATGCAAATCATAACCAGACCAATTACGGTGAAGCTCTTGCACTGAATAATTATAACCTTAACATTAATTAAATTAAAAGTAAAAGCATTATTTATTGAATGAATGGGAGAAACTGCAATGTACAATGTGGCAGCTCTAGTCCCGCCTTCTAAACAAAACAGTTAATCGCCAGTTGTTAAAGTCTGCTGTTAGAAGGTCTGGTTCCCATAAAATCAGTCAGTCTCCTGAGACTTGTGCTTCATTCACAGCAAGATTAATATTTGGTGCAATAAACATTTTAATTTGAATGAACGGCTGTTTGAATGCATCTGTTTAGACTAGGGCTTCACGATTAATCGCATGCGATATTTAACGCGCATCTTGTTAGAAAGCCGGTTCTGTAATCAGCGGTAAATCTCCATCACCTGCGTGCTTTCATATTGAGCAGCATTAACTACACAGAGCCGTTGTTCACTGATGAGCTGCGCAAAAAATCGCGCGAATATGAACGTGGTTTAGCGCAGCTCGTCAGTGAACAACAGCTCTGTGTAGTTAATGCTGCTCAATGTGAAAGCACGCAGGTGATGGAGATTTAC